TTTAACAGAAAGGTACACTGGGCCAGACAGTTTGATATCAGAATTCAACAATACAAATAACTAGGAGTGTGAAACACGCTCAAGTCAGCTTAAAAGAAATGGCAGACCATTGACTTGTTGACTTACCTGCTCTGGTATCTCTCAAGCTAGAAAACACAAGTTAATTAAGAGAGATTTGAGTTAATCAACTTTGGAAATTTTAGTTTCCTCTCTTGGAAGCATCCATGCAACAGAAAACAAGACTTGACCTTTAATTTATGAGCAGGAGCTCCTTAAATCAAAAACCTAAAACAAAATTCAAATTTATGTTTACCCAAAATCATTATATTCATTTAGAGTGATTATAACAAAATCAAGATTAATTCAGCAGAACAAAAATGAAAACTGTCAGGGAAAAATGGTCCAAATTTTACCTTTTGGTTCTGCTATTTGAGTTTCAGAACCTTTCTGCTTGGATATCTAAATAGCTGCAATGGAACACAAAAGATTGAACAATGTCAACAGAGAACATAAAAGAATTAAAAGAATGCATTAATTTATCGTAGGTACACCATATATGATATCTTCTGCAGATTTTGACGTGAAGGCCATTGAGTTGTTAAGATCAATAAGAATGGAATTTATTGTAGGTGGACCATGTACACATGAATGGACAACTTCGTGATCACCACAAGTAAAGAAAGAATCCAATTAATTTATTGTAAGTAGTAGACTATGTATATAATGACAACTTGGTGACCACCATAAGTTGGAATTTTCTCCAGATTACTTGTTTCTCCTATAGGGATGTATATTTTCTAAAAGATATTGAATTGTAGAACTTAATAATGTGCACTGAATTCTTCTAAAGGAAAATAAAGAAAAAACAGTGGGAGCATGACGGAACATAAATACTACCACACTCTGTTTTCTATTTTTCCTGATCCAAATTCTACTTTTACACAATAACTTAATCTAGCCAAAAAAGAAAAATCCTTTTTTGTAAGTTGTAATAATATCTTAAAGTTAACCTTCCATTCAACGAAGCATAAGGCAAGTTCATTAGCAGTTCAATCATACTAAATGGTTTCGCTTCCTCGAACCCTTATTCCAATTTTGAAAGTTTCGAAAACCTAAGGCTCCCTCTGTATGTTGGTAAAACATTTGATATTTCAGCAATGAGGATTGAGCAACTTTGTATAATTTTACAACCAATATCTCTGTACAACAAAAGACACGACCACCAAAACAGACTAAGGCCCCATTTAGTACAGTGGTCTATGAGGAACGATTAACAGTTTCGTCTAAACTGCTAAGAATAGGTATTTGGTAAACTTATTTATTTCAAAACTGCTAAAAACTAGGTGTTTGCTAAATCTTTTTATAATTTAACTTTATCAACCATCTAATCAAAATACTCCATACAAAGTTAATATTGGAAATAAAATTTATTTTTATAATTTTTCATATAAATTAAAAGTAAAA